GGAACATGCCTGGGTTGCAGACCAGGACCCCGACAGGGACCTTGAGAGAGGTAACCACACATTGATGTTTCTCTCCCTCTCTTTCTCTTTCCCTTCCCCCTGTCTAAAAATAAATAAACTAAATTTTTTTAAAAAGGTGTGAAACTAGTCCAAGTGTCCATCAGTAGATGAGTGGAAAACAAGCTGTGGTACATTTATACAATGGAATACTACACAGCTATAAAAAAGGAGCTATTACCCTTTGCAACAGCATAGATGAACCTGGAGATTATTATGCTAAGTGAAATAAGCCAGTCAGAGAAAGACATGTACCATATGATCTCACTCATGTGGAAAGTAATGAACAAAATAAACTGATGAACAAAATACAACCAGAGGTCATGGATACATGGAACATACAGACAGATTTCAAAAGGGAGGTGGAAGGGGAGACTGGAAGATATTAGCCAAAGAACTTATAAGCATATATGCATAGCCCATGGACACACACGACAATGTGGTGAAAGCCGGAAGGGTAGTGGGCACTGGGTGAAGGGGGACAAAGTGGAGGAAATGGGGAAACATCTGTAATAGTGTCAAGTAAAAAAACAGATAAACACTACATGATTCCACTTATATGAGTAGTGAAATTCATAGACAGAAAATAGAATGGTGTTTGCCAGGGACTGAAAAGAGGTAGGAATGGGAAGTAGCTATTTAATGGGTCTAGATCTTCAGTTTTGCAAGATGAAACAGTTCTGGAGATGGTGCACAACAATACAAATGTACTTAACAATAATGACTGTACACTTAAAACATGGCTAAGATGGTAAATTTTACATTATCTGTATTTTACTACAATTAAAAATAAATGGGGAAAAAAAGGAAAAGAAAGTAAAGAGCCAGGTGTCCTAGCTACATGCACTGCCATAACGAAATACTGGACTGGGTGGCTTAACCAACAGAGATTTATTTCCTCACAATTCTAGAGGCCAAAAGCCCACAATCAGGGTATCAGCATGGTGCATTCCAGTGAGGCCCTCTTCATGGCTTACAGATGGCCGCCTTCTCACTTTGTCTCAGTGTCTTAAGACATCATTTAACCTTAATTACCTCCTCAAAGCTCTGTCTCCAAATACAGTCACATTAGGGGTCAGGGCTTTAGCATATGAATTGGGGGATGTGGGGGGGGGGGGTGTAACACAATTCAGTCCACAGCACCAGGTGAACCCAATGGGGATTGATCCTAAAGCTCTATTTGGAGAGGGCAATGATAATTTAATAGGAAGCAGAGTCAGGAACAGTAGAGTGTGTTTAAGAAGCTAAATGAAGTTAGGTTTTGCTTTACAGTAAACTTACATACTGAATTTTTTAATATTCTAGTTCTCACTAGATTGTGAATGCTATTAAGAAAAAAAGTACCTGTATTGTTTAAGCTATAACTATATAGCACATGTCAATTTCCTGGGACATCTTGGCTGATCAATAAATAAATGTCAAAAAAGTCGGAGCAGCAATAAAGTAAAAAGAAGTAATGAGGAGGGGTAATGCCTCCAAAGCCTGAATTGCTCATCTTGAGAAACAGGGAATTTTATTGTATAGGGGTGAGGAGCAACTGAGGTGATTTACACACAGGAAAGACATTACTTCCTAAGTTTTTAGATAGGGATATCAAACTCATTTTCACCAGGGACCACATCAGCCTCATGGTTGCCTTCAAAGGGCCTAATGTAATTTCAGCTCCTTAACAGTTAAGTAGTAGTTACATTTATATAGTCCCAAACTTACATTTAGCCCTTTGAAGGCAACCGCGAGGCTGATGTGGCCCCCAGTGAAAATGAGTTTGACATCTCTGATTTAGATGAACAACCCATGCAAAAGATGTGCTTGAGGAGTTGAAGAAAGAGGTGAGCAGATTAGTAAAGAAGCTACTCCATGATTCAGTCATGATATCTTGGTTCAGTCAAGAAACCACAGGTAGCAGTAGGAAGGGATAAAGTGGAGAAATGCATTTAAAATACATTAGGTTGAGACTTATGTTTAAGTCTTTTATCCACCTTGAGTTTATTTTTGTATATGGTGTAAGTTGGTGGTCTCCTTATTTTGCATGTAGCTGTCCAGATCTCCCAACACCATTTGTTGAAAAGGCTATTTTTACTCCACTTTATGCTTCTGTTCCCTTTGTCAAATATTAATTGACCATAGAGACTTGGGTTTATTTCTGGGCTCTCTATTCTGTTCCATCATCTATGTGTCTGTTCTTATGATGCCAGTACCAGACTGTTTTGATACTATGGCCTTATAATATAGTTTGATGTCATGTATTGATATCCCTCCTACTTTGTTCTTCTTTCTCAAAATTGCTGTGGCTATTCAGGGTTGTTTTTGGTTCCACATGAATTTTTGAAATATCTGTTCTATATCTGTGAAATATGTCTTTGGTATTTTAGTAGGGATTGCACTGAATCTATAAATTGCTTTGAGTAATATGTACATTTTGATGACATTAATTCTTCTGATCCATGAACACAGTATATGCTTCCATTTATTTGTGTCTTCCTTAATGTCTTTCTTCAGTATTGTGTAGTTTTCTGAGTACAGGTCTTTTACCTGCTTGGTTAGGTTTATTCCTAGGTACTTTATTTTTCTTGTTGCTATAGCAAATGTGATTGATTTCCTGATTTCTGTGTCAGATATTTCATTGTTGGTGCATTTCTGAATACTGACATTACACTTCGCTGTTTTACTTCGATTTCTGAATATTGACTTTGTATCCCACTGTTTTGCCAAACTGACTTATTAGGTCGAGTATTTTTTTGGTGGAGTCTATAGGGTTTTCTGTGTACACTATCATGTCACCTGCAAACAGTGACAGTTTGACTTCCTCCTTTCCAATTTGGATGCCTTTTATTTCTTTTTCTTGTCTGATAGCTGAGGCTAGAACTTCCAATACTATGTTAAATACAAGTGGTGAGATGGATGGATCAAAAAACTGTGGTACATTTACACAGTGGAATCCTATGCAACAGAAAGAAAGAAGGAGCTCCTGTGTTCCACTCTTTGCAACAGCATGGAGGATATGGAAAGCATTATACTAAGTGAAATAAGCCAGGCAGTGAAGGACAAATACCATATGATTGTACCTATAAGTGGAACCTAATCAACAAAACAAGCAAGCAAAATATAACCAAAGGCATTGAAATAAAGAACAAACTGACAGTAACCAGAGAGGACGGGGGAGAGGGACAATGGAGGAAAATAGGGAAGGGCTTTCAAAGAACATATATAAAGGACACATGGACAAAGCCAAAGGGGATAGGATCGAGGGTGGGAAGCAGAGATGGGTGGGAAGCAAGAGAAGGGGGGGAAATGGAGACAACTGTACTTGAACAACAATTTTAAAAAAGTACATACTCAGAAACATCTAGTTAAATAAAATGTCAATATGGCATCTTAAAAAATAAATAAAATAAAAGACATTAGGTTGAACCATATAAAATTGCTATTATCTTTGACCCAAACATGAAAAGTAGGAAAACATGATTATGAACTAGATGCAGCCAGAGTTGTGAGAGTGAGAGCAAGGAGAGCCAAAGATGGATGCACTCCACTTTTGTGGCTTGGGTGTCTGGCTGAATAGAATTTATCAAGGAATAGGGAACAATAAAGAGGATTAGTCTAGGAAGGGCTGTAGACATTGGCTTTTATTTGAATCAGCTGAGCTGCAGACATCTACAGAAAGATGTTGAGTAAACTATGTCCAACATGGTAGCCTCTAGCCACATGTGACTATTTAAAACTTAAAAATTCAGTCCCTCACTCAAACAAGCCACATTCCAAGAGTTCAACAGGCACATGTGGCTAGTGGCCACCACTTTGGACAGTGTAGATAGAGCTGATTTCCATCATCACAAGTGCTACTGGTCTGGATGGACTGCAGAGCCACATTTGGAAGAATTAGCAAATATGTCATTTTTAAAACCAGACAGGGGATGAAATGATTCAAGAAGACTAGTTACAAGAATAGTGAGAAGTAATGGAAATTTGTGGATGAGACATGTGAAAGGGCAAGAGAAGGACAATGACTCCATGAAAGACACAACAGGCAGGACAGCAGCAGAGGAGGGTGTCACAAACACTAACATGAGAATTCTTCCAGGGGGATGGAGCGGGGGTGCAGAGCCGTCAGGCACTGCATGCAGGTGTGATGAGGTGAGGAGTAGGCAGGACCCACTGGATTCAACTGTAATTAGGTCGCTGGTGAGTGCAAGTCATAGGTGTATGAGGAGAGAGATCAAAGCCTCATGCAGCGGACTGAAGTGTGAATGGAAAGTGTGATGACATTTGCCAGAGAACAGAACTTTAAATTGTCTGCTAAACAACTTGCTTATGACAGGTACTTAGAGAAATACTTATGGAGAGGTATTTTAAGGATGTGAACATACAGGTCATTCATACTGACCTCCAGTTAGTCCAACTATCATTCCTGAATTCAACAGGATGATCAGGAAAATATCTATCTCAACTTCAACTTCTGTCTTAGTTACCTGAACAACTGCACAACAAAAGCCCTGCTTTGGCAATACGTCCTCTACTTCCACTGAGGAAAAAGTGAGAACAATGTCCTACATTTATTTCAGGGTTGCTCTTATTAGAAAGATTTACATTATCACATAAATGAAGACCAACAAAGACACTGTTTCCTGACTTTGATGATTTTAGATTCCATGAGGAATGTTTGGTTCAAGCTTGTCATCAATACAAACCTTTAAACTAATATTGTCTGTCTGACTCTGACATGCCTAATTAGAAAAGTTGGGAAGAAATTTACAGCTGCACTTTGGAAAATATGTAAAATCAGAAGACCTGCATCTATCTACATGACAACTCTGCTATGCTACTCATCTACTTTTCTGTATCTTCCTTGAAAGATGCGATACATTTCTATTTCTATTTCCACATCAATGGTTCCTTAGCCACTGATAAAATCCATTGTATAAAGGTGTTAATGAATAACTCACTTGAGGTATGTTCATTTTCTGCTGTTCTTGGGAGAGTGTAGAGAACTGTGAAAGATAACCTGGGGGTAAGGAGAGAAGAACAGAGTTATGAAAGGTCTGGTGAGCCTCTGCATTCACTTGCCTAAAAATCTCATCACACCAGCTAGGAAAAAGGCCTACCCTATGGGAAAATGTTCCACTGACCTTTGGTGGGGGGCAGAAAGCACCACACAGAGTGAGCACTTCCTGAATATGAACATCTCTGATATGATCACGTGGATTTAACCTTGCTAATTTTCATTAGGTGACTGGAAATTATTTCCCTATTGTTTAAAAAAAAGCATGTCCCCTCTGACTAGTTAACAAAAAATCAAAACAGAGAATTAATATTATTGCTATTATATTTAATATTATAAATTATATTTAATATTATTATTACTTACACCTTGAGTTAGAAAATCAACAGAAAACTGAAAAGAATAAGATGCTTCCTGATTAAAAATTTTAAAATCTCTTCACTTTAGTTTGTTTCAATTTCTTAAAAAGACTTTTAAGTTTCCCTTTCTGTTTTCCCCCAATAGCTAAAATTCCTAAGTCAAATTTACTTTTTTTGAAAAATTGTATTGAATTTACTGGTATGACATCAGTTAATAAAATTATATAGATTTCATGTGCACAATTACATCATCTGTATATTGTGTGTTCACCATCCCAAGTCAAGTCTCCTCCCATCACTCTTTACTCCCCCCTTTACCCTTTTCTAGCACCCCACCTCCCAAAAGTCTTATCAAAAATATTTTTGGTAAGACACTTCCAGTGACTTAGCTGTGACAGAATGAATAGTACCATGCTGGCTGACCAGGGGACATACATCTCAGGTTCAATATTTTTAAGGTTTCAAGAATTGGAAATAGAAATCCCTTCCTATGCCATCATTTTGTGATTCTATTATGTTCAGGATAAAGGAAACTCCAGAGTATCTTTAGATGCCACATGTGACAGACATGATATGAGAATGGCTCAGAATCTGGAAAGAAAGAAGAAAATGGAGGGCTATTTAAGTAGACAGAATTTCCTTGGCTCTGGCTGTGGCTTTCCCTGTGCAGCTTGACAGTCGGCCATCCCTCTCAACCCCAGCTTATCACCTTCTGCAAGCTAGTCCAACGTTCCCACTGTCACACAGAGTGTGATGGCTTCTGGATATGGCGACATCACCAAGTCTGGCTCTCTCTGGACAAGGTGCCTAAGAATTGCTTCTGGGGGGAGTAAATCAGGACCCGCTTCTTTCTGGGTTCTCCTGCATCTGGTCCAAAGCTCTGGTCAGAGCAGCTCCTGTCAGATAGGCTGTTCTTCCAGGTGGGACTCCTACCCCAGGGTTCCCTCCTTCTTGCCACACAAAGCCACTTTGTTCCAGAGACGTTGAGACTTAGGCCTAGGAAACAAATTCACTTTAGTTGAAACTTTCATCAAGAGCAGTGTTTCTCAATTTTAACACTACTGACATTTTGGGCTAGATAATTCTTTATCATGGGGACTGTCCTGTGCATTGTAGGATTCCAGCAGCATTTCTGGCCCCAAAACACTAGGTGCTAGCGGCAATCCTCCCAGTTGTGACAACCAAAAACATCTCTAAACATTTCCAAAAATCATCTGGGGAGCAAAATCACTCTAGTTGGTGATCACTCTAGTTGGAACCACTGGTGTATATGATAAAATTAAACCTGATTCTACGGGAATTCATTAGAACTGTTCTATCTGTTATTGTAGCCACTAGCCAGATCCTACTCTTGAGCACCTGAAATGTGGCTAGTGCCACATGTTGAAATAATGTTTTGTATATATTAAGATAAACACAATACCGTAAGTCCTCACTTAACATCATTGGCAGGTTCTTGGAAGCTGTGGCTTTAAGTGAAATGGCATATAACAAACAATTTTACCACAACTAATGGATATAAACAAGAGTTAAGTTCCGATGGCTTATTCATGGTCATAAAAACATCACTAAACTTCTAAATAAAGACCCCAAACACTTCCAATACTAAATATTGAAATAAATGTGAGCAATACATATTTAAGAAAGATTAATGGAAACAAGATAATGATTTTCTCACTCTCTCAAGTTTAGGGTGTCTAGAGCCTCCCCAGCAGCTCAGGGTACAAGGCAGGACCCCACCCTGTACAGGACACCCTCCCATTGTAGGGCACACTCACACACACCCACTCAGATTGGAACAATGTAGACATGTCATTTAACCTAACTGTACACATCTTTGGGATGTGAGAGGACACTGCACATCCCATGCACACATGTGGAGACCATGCAAACTCTACAAAGACAGTGGCCCAGCAGGGAATTCAGTTTTTTTCACCTTCATCAATGTTATTAGATAACACTATTGAATGAAATATTGCTCAAGGATCTGCTGCTGTATGTTCTTAAAACTAATTTCACATGTTTTTTACTTTTAATGTGGCCACTAGAACATTTAAAATTATATATGAGGCTCACCTTACCCTTCTATTGGACAGCACTGTGCTAGACTATCAGGCTGTGCCTTCTGAACACAGACAGCCTGGACAGTATAGGAGGTGCCAGGAGCCTTACCCAGAGGCTTTGGAGACATGCCAGAAATCCCAGAATATATACACTTGTCAGAGAGTGAAACATGGTTCACATTGACTTTACAGTTCTGGGGATCAGACACAAGTCACTCTGCTAGTTCTGTGAAAGCTGCAACCCTGGGTTTTAAGTAGGTAGGGTTTAGGAATAGTCTGAATTTGGGAGTAAACTGTACCTGTATTTGCATCCTAGCTTCCTCACTTTTGTGACCTTGACTCTGTATATTTTACTCCCAAGCTCATTTTCTTATTTTTAATGATGTGGTTATACCTTACAACCACCCTATACCTATAATAGGGTGGTTGTGAGAATTAAATGAAATACTAAATGAAAAAAAAAGAGTTGTCTTCCAAATATAATGAGAGCCAGCATGTAACGCTGACTTACTAGCTAGTCCTTATTAGAGCTCGTTAACTAGCAATTGGTTAAGTAAATGCTTTACAGTTACGACTTCTCTCTCTCTAGACAATACCACAAAGCAGTTTTTACTAACATCCTTTTTCTTTTTTTTTTTTTTTTTAACAGATGACGAACCTGACACATGCCCAGTGACAGAGGTGAAACTGAACTAGTCCTTCTGGCTCCTAAACTCGGCTTCTCACTGCAGACCCAAGGCCAGGGAGCGCTTTTGAGTCAGGTTCACAGTCGGTCAGTATCAGTCAATATTGTAAGGCTCATTCCCTCCTGCCACCCGCAAGGGATTTTTCCCCAAAGCCCGCAGCACTCAGCTGCCACATCCCACCCACCCCCGGAGCATCTCCACCAGGGCTGAGCCCCACCAGGGACCACAGAGACTGCGGGGCTGGGGCCCGCCCCCACCCACCCTTCCCAGGTCTACGTCCAGGCCCGGCTCTGGGATAGGCGGTTGCAGCCCTGCTTTGGGGGTTAGATACTGGAACTTCTTGTTTTCTTCCCCTAGGCACACGCCCTCAACCCGCTGCTGGGCCTCCAGCTGCGCCAAGGCGGGCCGGGCAAAGAGCTCACCTGATGTTGGAACCCTCAGGGTTAGCGAGGCGAGAGGGAGCCGCACCAGTCTAGTGGAACTGGCTGCACATGCGCAGAGAAAAGCACTGGACATCCTTTCCCAGAATGCACGCGACAACCCCTACTGAGACCTCTCGCAATTTGTGTGTGTAGAGGTGGGGAGCAATGTGATGATATTAACAGTCTGCTTATAACCGGGGAGTAGATTCTACCACGGCCCCAGAGGTTATAGATTAAACTTTGGCTTACAAGCCAATACAATGTGAGGCTCTTGGTGGATCCTGGTTGGAGAAAACAAAATATTTGGGAATGAATGTGGAAGTTTGCACATGGGCTGGTATTAAGGGAAGTTACCATTACTTTTATTGATTCTGATCATGACATTAGGATTACGTAGGCAAGTTTACTTTGTTTTCAAGATACATAGTGAAGTACTTACCATTGTATTATTTATTTGTAATGAAATAACTAGAAAGGCAAATACAGCAAAATGTTAAGTTCTACCTCTAGAATATTGGTATTCTTATTTTACTATTTTTTTCTTATGTTTGGAAATTTTGTAATATAAAGTTTATGAAGGGAAACACTTGAATTGTTCAAAGTATGCCTTTTAGCTCAGAGCTGCTAAGTAAAGGTGTATGAGTCAAATGCCAAAACTAAAAACAATTTGTAAGAAGTTTGATGTCCTTTATTCAAGGGAAAACAGTCGATGGAATAAGGAAGTACAGTGCCTAACAAGCAGTGGATTACTCTTCTGAGGGATTTTGGGCAAGAGCAAATTTTAAAGAACACTTGAAGAGCTTGAAGAGGCAACATGGAAACAGGGCATGATTGCCTAGGAGATCAGAGATTTCCTCATAAGGCAGGTTCTATCTTCTAAGGTAAAGGAAGCTAGCAAAAACTGAGAGAGGATTGTGATTGATGTGTGTTAGGATCCTTAACAGTGAGATGTACTCCCATAAATTTAGGCTGAATAGGTTTTCATTTGTAACATAACCCATTGTGTGAGTCCTGCTACATTAGGGGTAATAACGATGTATTGGTGTAGGTTCATTGTGCGTAACAGATGTACCAGTCTGGTACAGAATGTTTTTAGTCAGGAAGGCTATAGGAGTTGGGGGCACAGAAAATGTATAGGAACGCTCTGTACTTTCTACTCAATTTCTTTGTGAACATAAAACTGTTCTAGAAAATAAAGCCTATTACAAGGGGAGTAAAAGGACACAAAGACATCCCGAAAGAGCTCACAATGACCAAAACTGGAACATATTTAGCAAAATAATGAATCCAGTAATGGATTATAGCCCAAAGAATGAAATAAATCTCCATGTGTCCATATAAGGTAAAACAAATGAAGGGACAGATCTTCCTAACAGAACTCCAATAATTGTAGAAGATGTCAATGTACTTCAGCCAAATACCACCAGCAACACACTTGTCATTCAACAATTTGGATTTTAATAGTAGTTGCAGTGAGGTTGAACACACATATATATGGCAACTATGAAGTGTTGAGAGTGTTAGAAAGGGATTATAGGATTGGAGTTTTGGTTAGTTCATTTTGCAGAGGTTCCAAGGCAGCTGACTTTGGTCAGAATTGGGTGTTGCAAAGTAAATGAATGAATAAATAATAAAAAGCAGCAGTCACTCATATCAGCTGAGAGGTCACTGGTCTGATTCTCAGTCAGGGCACATGTGTGGGTTGCATGCCAGGACCCTGGTTAGGGGTGTGGGAAAGGTACCCCCATAGGTGTTTCTCTGCTTCTCCCTCTCTCTCTAAAAATAAGTAAAATCATTTTAAAAACTTATGAAATTTAGAAATTTAAATTTAAAAATTTGCCTTTTCATTACTTATAGCTTGAATCCCTATGAAAATTATTTATTTATGAATGCCATGAATATGGCTTTTGTTCCAGTACATACCTTTTTCTAAGAAGGTTATAAACATTCTCTTTCCACTGCTTTAAATACCAACTCTAATACATACCTCTTTCTCTCTCTTTTTCCTAGACTTAACTTTTTTTGCACGAGGATCAGTTTTTAACTATTTTAAAGCAATAGCATCCATGTTAATATAGACATATTGTTGTGCATTTTCAATTCTATTCTAATGGTGACTAAAAGTTTTTACTGGAATGAAAGTTGGAATTGTTCCTCTAGGTTAAGCAAACAAAAAATACAAATATCAAAAAGAAAACACCAGAAAAAACTTTTTAGAATTCTGATTGGAACTTCAATTTTATTATTTTCTTCTAGGAAACTAGTATTTATTAAGTCCTTATAGTGTCAACAAAATAAATTTTATACCTTGATTCACATAAATTGCACTAATTTACTGGTAACATTAATCCTTTTTCTCTTGCTAATCAAAACTTATTCCTTTTTATCATGTTCTGCAGTTTTCATTTTTTGTAATGTCTTCAGTTTTGGTATTGGGGCGATGCTGTCCTCATAGAACAAGTTAACATGTATTCCCTTCTGGAAGAGGCTATAGAGAATTCATATATTCTCTCCCTTAAGTGTTTGGTGGGATTCACAAGTGAATTCATCTGGGCCTGGTGCTTTGTTTTGAAAAGTTAGAAGTTATTGATTTAGTTTCTTGAATAGATATAGGCCTATTCAGATTGTCTGTTTCTTATAGGTGAGTTTTGGTAGATTGTGTCTTTCAAGGAATTGGTCCATTTCATCTAGATTATCACATTTGTGGGCATAGAGTAATTCATAGTATCCCTTTGTTATCTTTGTAATGTCCATAGCACCTGTAGTGATGTCCCAACTTTCACTTTTGATATTATTAATTTGTGTCTTCTTTCATCTTTATATTACATTGGCTAGAAGTTAATCAATTTTATTTATATTTATATTTTTACAGTTACTTAATGGCATTTTTGAAAATATTTTTTATTTTTTAACTACAGTTGACATACAATATTATATTAGTTTCAGGTGCACAACATAATCATTAAACATTAATATAACTTATGAAGAGAGCACCCTGATAAATCTTGTACCCCTTTGAAGTTATTTTTCATAAAGAAAAATATCACATGATCTTACTTATACGTGAAATCTAATGAACACAGTATATCAACAAACTGAGTAGTAACAGAAGCTTAGATACATAAAACAGACTGACAGCAGCCAGAAAGGGGAGGAAGGTGGAGACAGGATGAAAGATGGTGAAGGGATTAACAAAAGAACATTTATGTACAACCCATGGACACAGACAATATGGGGATTGGCTTGGGATGGGGAGAGGATGGGCATAGGTGGAGGAGGAGAAAGGGAGAAAAAGCGGGAACAACTGTAACAGCATACATAATAAAAATAAAACTAAAAAAATGATCATGGGGATTTAAAATATAAAACATGAAATATTATCAATAATTTTATTTATATTTTTAAATATTCAGCTTTTGGTTTCATTGTTTTTCTCAGCTTTACTGATTTCTGCCTTAATAATTTCCTTTCTTCTGCTTACTTTGTATTTATTTAAAAATTTTTTATTTTTATTTATTGCATTTTTTCCATTTCCATTCATCCCCTTATTTCTGCTTCCACTTCCCCTATCCCTCCTCCCCCACAGTTACCACACTATTGACCATGTCCATGAGCCCTTTCTCTTTTTGCTCCGTCCCTCCACCCCCTAACCAACCCCCACCCTCAGAGCTGTCAGCCTGCTCTCTATCTATGTGTATCTCTATTTTGCTTGTTAGTTCAGTTTATTCATTAGATTCCACGAGTGAAATCATATGATATTTGTCTTTCTCTGACTGGCTTATTTAACTTGGCATAATGTTCTCCAGGTCCATCCATGCTGTTGCAAAGGATAAGGTTTTCTTCTTTTTTATGGCGAAGTAGTATTCCATTGTGTAAATGTCCCATAGTTGTTTTACCCACTCATCTACTGATGGACACTTGGGCTGCTTCCAAATCTTGACAATTGTAAATAATACTGCAGTAAACATAGAGGTGCTTATATTCTTTTAATTTAGTCTTTCAGATTTTTTAAATAAATTCCCAAAAGTAGAATTACTTTGGATTCAATGTGTTCTTCTTTTTCTAGTTTTCTAAGGCAAAATCATAGATGATTGATTTTAGACCTTTCTTCTTTTCTAATATAGGCCATAATATATGTCTATAAATTTCCCCCTAAACACTGTTTTCATTCCACAAATTTTGATGTTGTATTTTCGATTATTTTAAAATATTTTAAAATTTCTCTTGAGATTTCTTCTTTGACTCAGGTGTTATTTAGAAGTGTATTGCTTAATCTCCAGCTATTTTTGGAATTTTCCAGCTTTGGTTATGTATTGATTTCTAGTTTAATTCCACTGTGGTCTTGGAGCATACATTATGTAATTTCTGTTCTTTTTCATTTCTTAAGGTGAGTTTTATGATATAGAATGTGGTCTATCTTTTTTAATTTTTTATATGAACTTGAGAACAATGTGTATTCTTATATTGTTAGATGAAGGAATCTATAAATGTCAATCATATCCAGCTAATTCATGGTGCTGTTGAATCCAGGTATGTATTTCCTGATTTTATGCCTTCTAGATATGCCCATTGCTAATAAAGAGCTATTGAAAGTCCCCAGGTATACTAGTGGATTCATCTATTTCTCTTAGTAGTTCTACCAATTTTTGCCTCATGTATTCTAATGCCCTATTTTTAGGCACTTAGACAGTAAAGATTGTTATGACTTCTTGGAGAATTGAACCCTTTTTCATTATGTAAAGCTCTTTTTATCTATGATAATTTTCCTTGCCCTGAAGTCTGCTTTGTCTGAATTAATATAGCTACAATAATGTTATCTTGATTGGTGTTAGCACATTATATTGTTCTCTATCCTTTTACTTTTAATCTATGTGTATCTTTATATTTAAAGTGGATTTCTTGTAGACACATACCATTGGATCTTATATTTTTGTGCACTCTGACAATCTTTGTCTTTTAATTGATATATTTAGGCATTGACATTAATGTGATTATTGATATAGTTGGATTAATATCTACCATATTTGTTACTGTTTTCTATGTGTTGTCCTGTTCTTTGT